TCTGAATTTCATTTACTTATAGTATATTAGCTTATTACTTGCCCTCAACTCAGCGTTCTACTAGATGCAGTTCTACAGTTATTAATTTAAAGCTTTCGATGCCATTTTTGCATTAGGGAAGTTGAAAAAATTTCCAAAACGAAAAAATTCCTCGACCGGACCGGGAATCGAACCCAACCACCTCCAGCATGGTCTTGCTTTGTAGCTGTGGTATTACCGGCTGAGCTAAGGGTGACCCAAAAGGTTGAAGGACACAAAGTTTAAATCACAAAAAGTGGAATCATTCAGCCAAGACAAACAAACAAATAAATAAAGTAACTCCAATGATTTATAATGTTCCATGCGTATATTTTATTTTATTATTTTTAAAAATTATCGACAACATGATAAGACGCAAAAAGCAGTCTTATTGGAACTTTCCCCAGCCGAAGAATCCAGCAACTAGGTCGAAGAAGCTATCAACATCGACTCCATAGTTTCGCAGCTTCTGGAACAGCGATTGGACTTCCTTGGAGTTCTGTAAGTAGAATTGATTTTCATTATCACTATTCAATGTTTTAAACTGCTGTATTCTTACGTTGTAGAAATCGACAAATTTGTGGAAATCGATATTGCGCAGCTTCTCGTAGAAAGCCTTGAATTCGGGGCTGGTCTTCAGCTTTTCCTCGAACAGAGTCTGAAATTTGTCCAAGGGCAGCAAAGCCAGAGTCTCATCCACAAATCCACACAGTCCTCCGGCTTTGACTGAAACAATTCCAATGTGTTCAAGTAGGAAATTGAGCAAACATTCTAAACTACTCACGGCTCAGAACGGTTGGCTGGACGTGGTGCAGTCCGAGGAAATCGGCAACAAAGTTCAGAGCATTGTACACATCCAGATGGGCGTCTTCCAGGTAGTTCAGAACATCCTTGACTTCCTTCAGTGCGAAGAACTGATCCCAAACGGCGGAGAATTCCTGTCCCTTTAGGTAGGCGAAGAATTCCTTGAACTCCTTGTCGGTGGTGAGGTAGCGAAGGGCCAGACCGACGAATTTATCCACTGGAACAAGGTCAGCGAAGTCCTGGAAGTCTTCTTTCAGACCACGGGTGTCCGGGGTGGCGGAAGCAGTAGCGAACGCTACAAGAGCGGTTAGAACGAAGATGGTCTTCATGGTTGATTGATTGAATACAGTGGTTGAAGTGAAACTGATGATTGCATTGGCATCGGACGTAAGTATTTATAGTGTATGGTGGACACCAGGCTTTACTGTCAAGTGTCTGGATAATCATAAGTGGATTAATTCAGTTACTAGGTACTCGAGATTAACTAAAATATATAAGTGGAAAATTTCACGTCACAAATAAACGAAAACAAGAAACAGTAAATAAATTCAAACAAATTCAAAAATCAAATCTTGACTGTACATTTTCCTCACCGGAATCCTTTGAAGGCAAACGGCAAAAAGTGAAACCACACTCAGCTCCTCCCATTTGACCAGTCGGCAGACGGGAGGGAAAAGTCGTGGACGAAAAATTTATTTAAAGCCATTTATTTATTTCCCATGGAGCCAATTTCGGCCGGTAATGACTCCATTTAAAATCCTACAGCTGCACCGATGTTGCTACTTTTTGCTCCTCTGTGTGTTGAGCAACACACCAAATAATGCCTTTATTTAAATGCGAAGACGGACGACAAAAAAAAAGCATGTCGGTATTGGGAAAGTAACATGCAAAGACCACCATCAAAATCAATCTTCTCTCCGAGAATGGTTCGAGGCGCGACGTGGTGTAAGGGATCTTTAATTCGGTGTCACTGAATTCCTGAAGGAGCAAAAAGAAAGGTCTTCGTGTGTAAGCTAGACATCAGAGCGTATCGGCAACAAATGTTGTCTCGTTTTGTAGAACATCAATTTATATGCTAATTAGATTGCTTCCAGAAGCCGTCTACAGCAATAGTTGTGTAAGATGCTCGTTATTTGATGTCTCATTTTATTTTCGATCAGCTTACAATAATCGAAAACAAAATAACAAAATGAAGATGCTAGTATGCTATCATCTGTGCTTTAATTTATTTAGAGCTTAAATAGCCACTTACCTCGAAGTATACCATGAACCCATAGCGACCGATTATAAGCCCCGACAATCCAGACACTTGACAAGATTTCTCCTTATCATCTCCACCATAAACTATAAATACTTGCGCCGGATGCGGATTCAATCACCAGTTTTACTTCAACCCGTTAGCCGATACAAACTAGCCAATCAATCAATCAATCAATCAATCATGAAGACCATCTTCGTTCTAACCGCTCTGGTAGCGTTCGCTACCGCTTCGTCTATCCCGGACACCCGTGGACTGAAGGAAGACTTCCAGGACTTCGTCGACCTTGTTCCAGTTGAAAAATTCGCCGATCTAGCCATTCGCTATCTCACTTCCGACAAGGAGTTCAAGGAGTTCTTCGCCTACCTGAAGGGAAAGGAGTTCTCCGCCGTTTGGGATCAGTTCTTCGCACTAAAGGAAGTCAAGGATGTCCTGAACTACCTGGAAGACGCCCATCTGGATGTGTACGATGCTCTGAACTTTGTTGCCGATTTCCTCGGACTGCACCACGTCCAGCCGACCGTCAAGAGTCGTAAGTAGTTTAGAATTTTTGCTCAATTTCGTACATGAATATATTTGAAATGTTTCAGTGAAAACCGGAGGCTTGTGCGGATTTGTGGATGAGGCTCTGGCTCTGCTGCCCTTGGACAAATTTCAGACTCTGTTCGAGGAAAAGCTGAAGACCAGCCCCGAATTCAAGGCTTTCTTCGAGAAGCTGCACAATACTGATTTCCACAAGTTTGTCGACTTCTACAACGTAAGAATACAGCAGTTTAAATGCATACTAGGAAATAATTCTAAACATATGTATTACTTACAGAACTCCAAGGAAGTTCAGTCGCTGTTCCAGAAGCTGCGAAACTATGGAGTCGATGTTGATAGGTTCTTCGACCTTGTTGCTGGATTCTTCGGGTGGGGAAAGTTCTAATGGGAGTACTTCAAATGTTGCGTGATGTGTGTGATTTTTTTAAATAGATATTTGAATAAAGTTTGCCTATGAAATATATTTGAAGAGTTTATCTTTTTTTCATAAAATATCGCCATTCGCAAATATGCGAAAAGTTTTCAAAAATGCAAAAAAAGATAACAATATAAATTCCTAAATTAATAAGCCTTTTTGGGAATCATTCAATGGTTAGGCCATTTTTGTTAAGCCGTTTTGCTTGTTATCAGAAATGGTAGGCCCTTTGCTAAGCCTTTGCTTAACGTCAAATAAATGCAAAACCAAATCATCGACCTCAAGCAGTAGGACCTAGCTTTGATTTGAAAATTTGCAATCGTTAGCCCTTCTACGTCACTTTTTACGTCAGACTTTTCAATGGAACTTAATGGAATGGAAAAGAAATACTGGTAGCTATTTAGCGGTGCTATAGAATGGTATCAAAAAACGATTTGTTTACATTTTGGTCATGGTCCCTTTTCAGATGTTGCACGGGATTTCTCCGTCCGACGCGTTAGTTCGGTTTATTAGGGAATAGTAGTATGTCACGAGGGGTGAACTTTTTCGTAGCTTCATATCTCCGGGATTGAAAGATCGTCGACCACGGCTTATTCTGGTTTAAGGGGCACCACCGTCGGATTTGAAAGATTATATCATTACCTCCATGATAGTGGTATGTTCTGATATGAAGCGCTTGGCTGCCTTAGACAGCCGTTTTTGCTTACTGAGCAGAAAATCATGGGATCAAACCCAGCCCCATCATATTAAAGTATTCATAGTCACCTGGCTTGCTTATCGTGTTTTGTTAAAATTATCGTCGTTTCATCGGTGCCGGGTTTGAATGGCTACTCGGTCATAAGAGGTGTGATGTGATATGAGGGGCTCGGTGGCCTTAGAGTGACCATTTTTGCTTGCTGAGCAGAACAACATGGGTTTAACCTCATGCCCATCCACATTAAAGATTCGTTAGTCGTCTTTTCGAACACTGAAATTCAGTGTACCGTTTGCCAAAACGAGCCTTGCTACATACCCAACCCTTTATCCAACATCCCAGTGTTTTCTCGTGGAAGTGCAGAAGATTTCTCGGCTTCCAAAAAATCACGTCAACACATTCCAACCCAATCCTTTCTTGACCTGCTTTCGGACGCGCCCGGCGTTGGTATTGCCTAATTTAAGATCATCAGTTTTTACACATTGAGGATGATTGCTAGCCCCAAGCATCATCTGTTGGTTCTCTGTGTAATTACAGCGAATCTGGCAATAACGGAGTAGCATCCGCGGACGGTCAATCATGCTCATGCTCATGCTCATGCAAGTCAGAAATTATGTATAACAAATTTTGGCACAAATCACTTCCCAGCTCATTTAATCTTAAGAGGTGTTAAGGTAATCTGCATTGACACTAAAGCTAAAACCTTAAACGGTCATTCTTTATAGGGCGGTCTAAAAATAATGAGATCCATGTGTCGAAACAGTTTTTTTTTTCCTTTGGTTTGTTTTTTCCGTCGATTTTGTTTTCCGTGCTGAGCACCAATGCTACCGACGTGCCAGGAAGGCAGCTCCAACACCTGGACCCTACCTATCGACCCATCAACTCATGAACCGGGGACCAACGGCTTTACTTCCCATCCGAAGGAAGGCGTGATCAGAGATGTTATGCCTCTGAACATCCCGGCGGCGCCGACTGGGATTGAACCCAGGCCTGCTGGGGTGAGAGGTAATCACGCTTACCACTAAACCACCGGCGCCGTTATGTGTCGAAACAGTTATTGACTATTTCCGGAGACATGAAAATGTGTATCTTTTTCTAAATTTGAAAACCCGAACTACGAAGACATATTTTTGTTGGAGGTCGATAAATTGTAATCATAGGAGTTCAGCAATGTTTGGATAGGGATATGTCATGTCACCTAGATGTACTAGAAAAAATCATAACAGCATTAGAAACTGGTTGACCATATGAAACGAATAGTTGCTTCCAATGCATCGTGTATATTTCATTCAAAATAATTCATTCCACCCGAAGAACGCTTTGAACAGATCCAAAAGCTTTTCAATATCAATGCCATGTGGTTTCACCTGCTCTTGTATGGCTTGCACCTCCGGATCGTCCTGCAAACCAGAAACAAATCACAACAATTCTACAAATTTCCCACTTTTCCTACTCACCAAAACTTCTCGGATCAGCCGCCCGAACTCCGGCGCCGTAAGCTTGTCTGTAATACCTTTGTACTGTGGGTTGTTATTCTTGTTCTTCTCGTGAACGCCCATCATATCACTTGAGGAAACAATTTTTATGGCATCATCAACGAAGGCACTCAAACCTCCCTTCCTCAGTTGAATAACTGAAAGTGGAAATGACTGGTGAAAAACGCATGCGAAGCAACCTGCCACATCTTACATCTCTTGACCCTGGACCGGGTTCCAGTAAAGTCGGAAAGCATGTTCAACACTCGGTTAACCGGTAGTCCCGCATCATCGATGTATCGCAGCAGCTCTTTGACTTTCTCTATCTCCATAAATTTGTTCCACGCTTCGGAGAATTCAACACTTCCCATGTACTGGATCGTTCGCCGGAACTGAGGATCGTGCACCAAATATTCAGCCAGCAGTATCCGCAATCGATCGATCGGGAGACTTTGCTGAATTCCAATGAGGTCACCCCGCACTTGCGAATCATCACCGAATGTGATTTTCAAATATAAACCTAGCGAGAAAAGAAACAGCAATCCCTTCATGGTGAAAATCAACTGGTGACTGAACAAAACTCATTCCATTGTAGAACTCGCGTCTCTGCTGACGAACGTGACTCTTGTGATAAACAGACGAAGGCATGTTTAAAAGGTTTATGTGTATATAGATAAACCGTGTGGTGAAAGATGGTAAAATTTAGTCAAAATATTTTAATACTAATGGGCTCGTCGCGGTATGTGTATGCTTGCCGTAAATGTTAAACAGAAAACAGCTACACGACTTATGTCACGTGACTCACTAAGAACTCGCTGTAAACGGATAATATTTTGAAAGTAAGCTTGCATAACGCATGAATTCATAACTGCCCAGAATTTTTCAATTAGGCGAAACTCCGGTGTATTTGGTGGATTCATATATTTTGGCACAAAGTTGACTCCGTTGGCTCGGTACCACTCCAACACGTTTCGAGCGTAGTAGCAGGATGCTAGATCAGGCCAAAACAAAGTTGATCCTTTCTGCTTCCTTACGAATGGCAAGAGACGCTTTTTACCCTTCCGTGTAAATCGTACCGTTGATTGTTCCGGAAGTGATTTCACCACATCCGCAAATTGCCTGCGAGATCAGCAACTTCTTTGCGAATTTCGATAATTTCTTCTTTCGAACATCCTCCGGAACATCGGACTTAGACTTGGCAACGAAATATTGTTCTGGAAAAGATTGGCTGGACCAAAACCGATCGACGAAAAATGATAATAGTATTCATTTGTACGAATTTATAAATATTAATACTAAAAACATGACTATCAGACACATTTTACAAAGCATCGTATATATCTGTTGTTTGAAGATGTACAGCTTTTATGTATTCAGCACCATCTTTACGTTCGTTATTCTATTTTACTGGAACTCAATAACACAATTGTCGACAATCAGCGAACAAGCAAGAAATGTGATTACTTACCGAGCTGGATTAAGTGTATAGTGTACCATTCTATGAAAAAGAACGCCCCACCACAGCTCATCAGATGAGGTCATCTATTTATATGTTCAATGAAAGGTAAGTTTCAAAACGGTCCTTAAAAGTTAGGAAGCAAGGCATTTCCAGCGGTAATTGCCGGCATATTGATGCATGGTTATTCAAGGAAACTGCTTAAGCATTGAATATTTTCTATTCATGACTGCTATCCTACCTCCGTCCGAAGACTCAATCCCCTTGTAAAACTTCTCTACTGGAGGAAAAAAGCGTTCACATGTGTCTCATACCACTTTACTTCGTCACCACCCCCGTCGTTGTAACGGAAGAAAAATGTCGTTTAATCTAACGACAGTCAAAGTTTTTCCTCCATCGAGGACTAGAGCTGGCAGCTAGCAGTGCAGCAAAGTTTTTCCTCCGTTCCACCAAATTTTCCATCTGGATGGGAAAGAATCACACACACACACACACAAAAAAAAACTAAAGCGATCTACGAAAAAATACACGCAGTCATAGATAAGCAATATAACCAGGGACGGAGAAACGGGAAACTTCGGCGGAAGAAAATTCCAAAACACTTCACCCTCAGTTCGGGAAAACGAGAGGAAAAAGCAAGCTTTCCACTCGAGTGGAATACCACAAGAGACCATTATCTCCGTTTGGAGCCAAGTTTGAACAACAACAACAACAACAACAGCAGTAACAACAAAACCATGTAGGTATAGGCCCTATCCTATACACTCGCATGTGCCACTGAAGGGCCGAGGTGATCACTGCAAATGACACGAAACGACGACGGTATCAACGGCCGTCATCATCGTTATATGATCACACACATAAAAGTGCAATCAATGACAGCGGGTGACCACTTGAGCTGGTTTTCTATCGATGATGGCCCAAGAGGGACGACGTGGGTAGGATTTGAGCGACCGAGCCGGAAGAAATCGGAAATGATGCTGAATGCTTGTTGGAAAACTTTGGACCAAGATGCAAGAATGCGGGAAATCGGGAAACAGATGTTGGTCGCTAGCAGCCATAAACGCGACGCGAAACATTCTGGAGGCAATCGATGTGTGTTGAATAGTTGTTTCACTTTGCGAAATGACGCGCATTTAAGGACGTTTCGTGGTGAAAGAACGATTACTGCCAAGAAAGTCACGCTGCTTCAAATGAGTTTTTAGTTCTACAATTAGGTAGGGGTTTGAGGTTTCGAGCCATTTCGTAGTAAAATTTAATGAAAATCGTTTCTTTTCAAATTGAGTGAAGGTAGGTTATTATTAACCCATCAATACCGATCACCACTCACAGTTGAGAAAAATCAATAAATTAAGTGGAAGCATAAAAGTTGAGGCAAGAACAACCATATTTAAATTCTATACACTGAGCGAAATAAATATAAGGACAACCGAAAATTTGCAATTCTTAAAAATTAGTTTTAATTACGCAAAACTTCTGTTTTCCAGTTTTGTGTGTTTAATGTCATCTCACATTTACTACACTGTTTCAGTGTTGACTAGTCTTTATACGCGGGATATCGACTGTTTTCATATGCTTAGAAGGAAATAATTATAATGACAAGCTGACAAGTTTTTGCGTAAGTTTGTAAATCAAATTTGACCATTGTTATAATATAACACTTCCGGAGTGATTTGAGATTTGGCCGTAATTGCATTTGTAAACAAACACGCCAACCGCCGATTTCTCGCGAATAAACGCTTAATCTCGAAAACTTATATCACTATCAGGTAGAGGAATAATTCCTCTATCATTTGGTATATTTTGCTTATGGGATTGAGCTGTTATTCAAGAGAAACTGGCAATTTACGTGTTTGTTTACAAATACAATTACGCCCAAATCTCAAATCACTCCGGACTTATCAAATTAACCTATATTATGACCGAAAATTTTGATTTTAGTATTTATTATGCGACTTTCAGAAAACACTGAAATCGACCACTCTTTCGGAGTGGAGAAATACAGGCCCACGTAAAAATCTACTGACAATCCGTGAGATCGCAAGCAGAATAGGAAGAAATAAAACGATGGTGCATATTTTCGTAAAATTGGGTGAGAAATATGCGACCATCAAGAGAAAAAGGGCGTCCAGCATCGGTATCAGAACGCGCAAAACGAGAAATTAAGCGATTGTATCAGTATCTAAACGTCAAGTATAGCCAATTTTAAACAGCGATAAGAATACCAAATATGGTAAAAGTGTGCCCGTTTCTCGCTTATTGTCTCGACACAAAAAAGCAAGATTAGAATTTGCAAAAAAATACCAGTCCTGGGGAAAAGTGGGAAAATGTGGTGTTCAGCGATGAAAATAAATTCAAAGTAGATGGACCGGATACGAGATGGAAATATGACAGGTGGGCAGGAACTCACGGTCTCCCAGTGTTGGTGTGTTCTTTGCCGTTAATGTTCACGAAAAGTTCACTATTTTGCCATACAGAAATTCAAAACAAAAAATTGTATGGACGGATTTGGATAGTTTATGACCTGTTTCATACGACCGGAAGGTGTATGCTCGACTTTGGAAAGCAACGGTTTCGTGATGAATGTGTGTGTGCTGACCACGTTTTGCGTCCATTGCAGCAATAGAAGCGCTCTGACCCCCGTTGGCGAATCTGCCATACAATTAAACCACTGCAAGCGGCTCCCGTTCTGGTGGAGGAGGTTTATTGGATAGCGGAAGATAAAGTGTTTATTGTGTTGTACCTTTTGACTATAGTTTTAATATGTATTTTATAGTGAACAAGAATCCTCGGCTCTGTAAAGTTAATTCGGTTGTGCCTTATCAAATAAATTAATAAACAAAAAATATGTTATTTCAGCAGGAAAACGCCACTTGCCATTCTGCACGTAACTGTTCTCGAATGGCCAGCAGTTTGAACATGGTGCATGGCCCAGATCTCAATCCATTTGAGAATGTTTGGAGACTACTTTCCCGAAATGTTTTCAAACATGGGCGTATGTTTGACACCGTTCTTCAACTCCAATCTGCTATTGGAAAATAAAAATGGAACAAGTTGGACAATGATGTTCTAAAATCGAACATTACTTCAATGCCGAGACGACTGATGGAGGTCTTTAAAAACAAGGGAGGAGCAACTCATTATTAATCACTGTTTATTTTATGTAATAAACTACGTTTTTGTTGAAATTTTAATGTTGTCCTTATACTTATTTCCAGTGGAAGAGTTTTAATTTATTTTTAATAATTAATCTAGAGTCTGCATCACAAGTATTTTAAGTAGTATTTTAAGTAAATTCTAGAATATTCACCAAAAACTCAGGTTACAGAAACTATAAACGCAATGGAAGCCTTTTGAGTCTTGTCCTTGTATTTATTTCGCTCAGTGTAGTAACGATCATAATATTATGTATGTGCTGGATGCGGGAACTTATCTTATCTTTATCTTTCTTTATTAGATAAGGTTAGATACAGGAACTGGGGCCTCATTGCCTAGTCAGTAAAGACACGGTATTACCAAGCCGGAGGCGACGGGTTCGATTCCCGGTCCGGTCGAGGGAATCTTTCGGGTTGGAAATTTTGTATATTGCCACACAATATACAAATTCATGCATTGGTAATTGCTATCGAAAGCTCTCAATTAATAACTGTGGAAGTGCATTTAGAACACTAAGTTGAGAGCACGCAATAAGCTAATATGCGCTAAGCAATAAGCTTGAAATGCGAATAAGAAGAAGAGATACGGGAACTTTTCTTATGGTCAGGATCAGAACTATATTTTTATTTGTATGAGACACCTACTGAGCTATTTTCACTAATGTTATCATCATCAAAAAGAACTTACAAAGACGGGAATTTTCCATAAGGACTAAATTCATGGGATATGAGACAGAATAATATGTTTGCTCGTTAGCACCACATTTTAAGCCTTTCAATATGTTTACTAGGGTGGTTCAAAATATCAATGTTACTCCACCTTGCTCAATCGATTAATTTGATTGCGATCTCATACTGCACTGGCCCTTTGAAATTTATATGGGAATTACTGTGGGTAAAATGAACTTTTTGTTCTCATCGTCCTAGCTATTTTCCATAATATAAGGGTAAGCTTGTTATATGTTCTTATGTGAAATTATGTCAGCTACAATTTTGCTGAAGATCACTTTCTGAAGGAACTTCAAGATAATTAGTTATCTAATGATCAGGAGTTGATTTTTAATCGATTGAGCGGAGTGGAGCAAAATCTATATATTGAACCACCCTAATGTTTACATACTGGAGCTATCCAATCAGCAAATTAAGAACTACATGATTTTGACAACACACAAATTTGAAATGTCTGAAAGTATTCTAAAATATTTGTTTAATTAATTTTAATTTTAATTATAATCTAGTTTTTCTAAAGGGCAAAAAAACTACTTCAAGAGAGTGCTGCCAATCAGTAGTTGAAACAGGTGACGATTTTTACCACACAGAAAAAAAATAATATTGATATCACATCAAAGTGGATGCACTTCAATCGTATCAAAAATATGGTGTAATATTACTTGCCAAAAAGGATAAAATTATCATTAATACAGTGCATGAACTGACATTACGCTGCTTTTACTGCATTTGTTTATTTTTGTGGCTATAAAAATTACATGAGATTTTTGATATGATTGAAGTGCATCCTCTTGGATGGGACCTCCCTTAGCTCAGTCGGTAAAGGCACAGCTACAAAGCAAGACCATGCTGGAGGTGGCTGGGTTCGATTCCCGTTCCGGTCTAGGAATTTTTCGGGTTGAAAAATATCTCGACTTCCCTGGGCATAGAGTATGATTGTACTTGCCACACAATTATACTAATGCAAAAATGGTACAGGCATCGAAAGCTCTCAATTAATAACTGTGGAAGTGCATCTAGAACACTAAGTTGGGAGCACGCAATAAGCTAATATATGCCATACGTAATAAGCTTGAAATGCGAGGAAGAAGAAAGAAGAAGAAGCATCCTCTTGGATCTAATATTAAAATTTATTTTTTGCTGTGTACACTCGCTTCGTTGTCTTGCGCGACAGTCTGTTTGTATTCGTACGCTCGTGCTCTACCGTCGTCTCGAGCAAAAAGAAAAATATCAAATGACAATAAAAGATAGTGTGTAATTTAGTTCTAGTTCCTCAATGTTGTTTAAATTAAACTATTTCTGAACAGAAATGTAATTACTCACTCACAATATCACTCTGCACACCAATCTTGGGTCAATATTTTTCTCAGTGTGCCGCAAGTGTACCGTTGGTGTGCCGATTATTCCGGCAGTGCCGGGCATAGAGCAAGCCACGATTTTTCAAAAAATACGAATAGTATGGTATATTTAGCAACCCAGTATTTCTGACAGCTTGAATGTTTAGGTTTGCAATCGCAACGGCCCCGGAAATGTCGAATATCGTGCTCAATAAGGATTTCTTCTACCGACGAATAAAACGCCTCTATGCCAGCTGGAAGGAACCAGTGTTTTCCCATGATGATTCGCTGCAGAAGGTGGATTGCATTCTGACGGCGGTCCATACACGAGGAAACCATTTACAGCAAATCAACCTCGCTGAAGACCTGGCTGCTGGGATACGAGCTGATCGATACGATTACGGTGCTGTGCGAAAAGTCAATCTTTTTCCTGACCAGCAAGAAGAAGGTTGATTTCCTGAAGCTGATCGAGAGAGACGGTGAGGAGGGCATTCCGTCGGTGAAGCTGTTGGTTCGGGAAAAGAACGACAACGACAAGGTCAATTTTGGAAAGCTGTGGGAGGCGATTAAGGCATCCAATGATGGCAAAACGTTGGGTGTCTTCTCCAAGAACAACTTCCCGGGTGAATTCTGTGTATCGTGGCGAGCCTTCAGCAAGGACAAGAGCTTCGACACGGTGGGCATCAGCGTTCCGATTGCGTACATCATGCCAAGGAGGACTCCACCATCAGACGATAGACGTATTCTAAAAGTACCTCAAGGATCACATCATGGAGATTATGGATGTTGATAAGAAAGTAAATATGCCAAACTGTCGGAGGGTGTCGAGCAGGCACTGACGGATAAAAGGTACGTCTCCGGTGTGGACACCAACTAGTTGACATGTGCTACCCGGCGATTAGTCGGGTGGCAATTACAGCTTGAAGTTCAGTGCATTCAGCGACAAGAACTATCTGCACTTTGGATCTGTCGTTACAAGTCCTACTACTCCAATGTCGTCCGAACGTTGCTAGTCAGAAGCACTACACCTTACTGCTCAATCTAGAAGAGCTACTGCTGAAGGTGATGATTCCGGGCAAGAAGCTCTCGGAGGTTTTCGACGTCGGAATGGTTTATGCCAAGAAGAAGGATCTCAATCTAAGACGTTCGATTTTACCAGCGGGTTCTAGTTCCGGGAGAATTCGATCGTAGTACCTCAACAAGTGAAATTCAGGTTAAAAATTGTAAGTTGCGTAGAAGCAATAAAAATTCCGTGTGATTGTGCCGTGAAAATTACTTCGGTATTGTTCAAATGAGTTTGGTTTGCTAGACGACCAATTGACCGACTACTTTTCACGGCACAATCACACGAAATATTTAATGCTTCCACTCAACATAATTAACTTTTATTTTTGTTACAAAATCGAAAACCATTTATTTCATCTCGTATAAGATGACGCATATCCGAAAATAAAACTACTCTTTTACTTAATTCAAATTTAAACCGAAATCTCACCTCAAATTTACATACGTCGCATTGGTGGTAAGGCCACAGTTGTTATCCTTCACCGCCATCAAAGCATATCCTTCGTTGCCTCAGTAGTTGGACCAAGAGTTCTTGATTAGCCTTTAATCTTCTCCTTTGAGTTTTTCGTATCCAACCGCCACCATTGCATGATTCAATCCATCCAAATTGCTCTTGCATTTGAACACAAGTGAATTGCTGGTCTGAGTTCCTCTAGTATATTCAATTAGAGTATGTTTCTGAAATACACAGTCAAACAGCACGTAATGTTGTGAACAACTTCAATGACAACTGACCAGCAGTGCTCCTATTTTATTTAATGAACAATCCAATGCCTACGAGATTGTGCCGAAAGTGTGCCGATGGATGTGCCCAAGCTATGTCGAGTCTACTTTCTGCACACTGTGCTGAGTGACTTATCCCTTGTAATTACTAGAACATCGATGCATGCTATTTTCAGAATTCACACAAGCACAACATTAGCAGCTCTTATTATGAGAAAAACTAAAATACATAAATACCTGACGATCTTCGGCGTCTGTGTCGTATGACAGAGATTGTCATATGACATTTTAGATTGGTACTGTTGGAAACTAGTAAGCCATGAGGAAGACTTCAATCAAAAATTTTGATTATCCTAACAACCACTGTAGAAACCAGTTTCCTTTCAAGAACCTTTACAAAGAAGAGTTCCTACGGTAATTTGTGCGAAGAAGTTACAGCCACGACCCCAGGTCAGCGAACTGTCGGTGTGATTCCGAACCAGCCGCCTGAAACATTGGCCCTTCTTCCCGTCCTCAGGTGAGCGAATGATTCCGAACCAGCCGCCTGAAACATTGGTCCTTCTTCTTGTCCTCCGGTAAGCGAACTGTCGGTGTGATTCCGAACCAGCCGCCTGAAACAGGTACTGTACTTTAATAGCTTATTTTGCAAATTTCGAAAGCAAGTACAGTCGACTATCACAGAAAATTCAACGACTACGGTAACCGCGGCTGCCAATAATGATTGCTTTATTAATATTGGACAGTTACGCGATCATAACTAAAATACAAGCATAAATCTATTTAATGTAAGATTATATATTTAATTTTTCCAAAATATTAATATTTTCATCCCTTGTTATTTATTTTCTTATTCTGGTTTTTTTAAATTAAATTCTTAATATTCTTTTTTAAATCGGTCATCTGGTTCCAGAAATGTTGCCGGAACAAGGTCCAAAAAGCACGTACTTTGGGAACTAAGTCTTGTTTCTCGACAACCACTTAACCGAATTGATCTACACTGGTCACATCTGGACATATTCCAGGTACCCTCGGGGCAGTGGCCAGTTTCTGACTTTGAGTCAAAATCCAACATGCGATACATCCAATCACATGAGAATTCAAAAACCAGCTTAATGGAAGTCATTTGGATTGATTACATCCGGATATGTTTTGGATACCACTGAGGAAGTGGTCAGTTTCTGACCAAGGCGCAGTGGTTCCTGGCTGGCCAAAACCTCAAAAATTAAAGTTGATGTTTTTTATTTCAATATTTTGTTATCATTTTTACATGTTAAGAGTATCTTAAATTGTATGATTTGTGCAGTTATGTTGATTGCATTTTTTTATGATTGCTATAATGTAGCGATATCACAAATTTTTGAAAAAATAATCGTAATGTTTCTTGTTACTGTTTTGCTCAAATATAGCAAAAAATAATGTGTTTATCAACTTGGTTGCTTGAGAAGAAATGTTCCTCGGCTTATTTCACGTAAAATGTATAGTAAAAAAGAGTGTCTGCACTGTTTTAAGTGACAATTTCTAATAAAATAATAGCAAACATATACTTTTCCACATTTAGACTAAGCAAAACATATGACGGACACATCTGCCCACTAGTGTTCACTCGGCTGTCGACAAAAGCAGGCCACTCTCGATGTGTGCAACGCGATCATCTGTTTTCTCGGCAGCAACCATTGTGTGGTCCTCCTCATTGTTCTTCATCAGCAGTTCTTTTGATCGATGCGTCGTCGATTTTGGAAAGCAACCATTTAATGATGAGTGTGTGAGTGCTGACCACGTTTTGCGTCCATTGCTGCAATGGAAGCACTCTGACTCCTGTTGGCGTAACTGCCATAAAATGAAACCACTGGACGCGGCTCCAGTTCTGTGGAGGAGGCTTTTTGAATAGCGGAAGATAAATGGTTTATTGTGTTGTAACTGTTGACTATAGTTTTACGATGTTTTGTTTAGTGACCAAGAATCCTCGGCTCTGTAAAGTTAATTCGTTTGAGCCTTGTCAAATAAATTAACAAACAACGCCCACCCACTATCCTTTAGTAACCAAAAAATAACTAGAAAAGTTAGCTTTCAGACAGGCTTTAATGTGTTTTGCGATTTTTTGCGAAAGATGTTGAAATTAGGAATAACAAGTAAAGTGTTCTTTGGAAAATATCCGTTTCTAAGTTATATAATCTGCGGTGTATACTGTAGCAAGCTTTACAATGCCTTTTTTCAAAGCACACCAACCACACACATACACACACGCACCATATATGTATCTCTTATGGTTTATGAGTTATGATTTTTTTTTTAACAAGCAGGTTAGGGTGGCCCCTAGACAATCGGCATTATTTAAATATCTTTTTATACGTTATTACGTTATTTCTCGTGAAATTTTTATACTAGATCCTTTAAGAACTTTTTATGACGCATATTTTTGCTAAAGTTATCTCTTTTACTTGAAAAGTTTTGGCTAGTTTTTGCTGAAAATATTACCTTTTTTTAATTAAATTAAATGCTTTAAACAGAAAAAGCTTTTGCAGTTTTTTACCAAAAATGAAGAAAAAACGATGTTTCCAATGAAATTATGTTTGAATATCGGTTTGCTCCATTTTGAGATATTCACAATTGAAAAGAGCCATTTTTTCGAAGAAAATAGCCTTTAAATTTCTAATCAAAAAGATAGTAACCTAGTTGCTTGAGCAAAAATACGTATCATCAAAAGTTCTAAATGTAATCAGAACAATGTTTTTACGAGAAATTAACGCATGAAAAGTTATTCAAAGAAAACCGATTTTAGTGGCCACCCTAACCTACTTGTTTAAAAGAATCATAACTCATGAACCATAAGAGATAAAAACGTTGTGTCTTCAACAAAGTTGCTTTGAATTGATTATTCTACAACTGTTTAGAACACTGCTTTGGTCTATCTCAAATAATAAAAAAGTTTGTATTTTTAATTCACCAATTTTATGGACCATCCTAATTTTACGAACATAAAAAGATTGAACAAAAAATATGAAGCAACTTTCCCTAAGAAACCATATTACCTAAAACTGACGGTTTGGGCGTAAACATTTTTGTCTTCCTAAATACGGGTTTGGGACACGTGTTTGTTTACAAAAGCAATTACGCTCAAATCTCAAAGTTCTCCGAACGTGTCGTCATCGCCTTCGTCGGTGCCGTGTTTGAATGGTTTGCAAGAGTTTGCATCTTACTACAGCCGCAGCTACTGACACTATTATCTAAGGAGCAGTTCATACACTACGTAAACATACAGTGTATCGCAAAATTGAGCGTACACCCTGAAACGTGGAACATTTTTGAAAACATTCTGAATAGATATATTTTTTTTTAATTTTGACTGGTGGTTAAACATATGTTTATTGATTTATCGTTTTAGTTTTGGACATTATAGGAATAACCTGTATGAAGTTAGATTTACTTTAGTAATTCGCACGATTTTCAACTTTTTACCTAGTGGATGAATTTTAGTAAAATCAGTGGAATATAAATGATCTTTATTATGACTAAAACCGAGCAAATTTTTTTTAAGATTGTTCATTATATTTCAAGATATTTTGGTTTTTCAAGGAACAGGCGTTTTTCTCAAATAGCTCTTACTTTTAATAAACGCATCCAAATAAGCCCAACACTGTACCAATAATTGATAAATTTATGATGATTCAGCAGCCAGAAATTCATAAACGTATCTTTTGAAATTGTGCTTTTAAAGCTGTTTTTTTTTCTACAATTTAAGGTGGTACACTGTATAATGAGGGTGCTTAACAAGTGTCTAAGATACATATAAAACATCAATGTTTTTATGAATAAATGGAAGGAGGTTTAAATCGCTCAAAAAACGTATTCGTAGTTTATGGAAATTCCCTAAGTATGACGATAGAACTGAAATCAACGAAATAATATTTTCAGAAACTTTATGCGAGCAATTTCCCTCACTAACAAAGTCAAAATACATTCCCTTAATTATTTTTTTCAAGAACCGATATCGCACCATAGTCTTCTAATTACCCATTGTTCCATAGTTCATCACGAAAAGCATGCAGGTAATGCATTTTCAAAACTCCACTTCGAGCATATTGGCACCACAATGCAATTGATTAGACTTGCATGTTCAACTTGATATGAATTTGCTTCCACGTGAAAGTAAGTTAATTGCTGCCATCCGAAAAGCGAGCAGGTTCTACAGAGTCTACTCACTTCATATACATAATTGTTTGCACAAGTGTCGCAACATCAAGTAACGCATTCCACAAAATCCGTCCTATTGAGATGCGCTGACGTGGAAATGATGAGCACATGGCGAACACAATCACACTTTTAGCTATCATCACGATCCATATCCTTCGATTCGTTGATACAAAGAATCCGCATAACTCGAGCCAAACGAACAAACTTCATGCGCGCCACTCAATGGGCTTCAGATTCAAGTTTCTGTACGTTGGGCTTAAGTAACTCGGATTCTTCTTAATCTGGCAGGCATTCCAACAGCAAACGCCACACAGATCGATGTCACTTCACAGCATGTCTTCAACCCCACGTGGTTCCGCAAAAACGCGTTCTAAACCACAAAAAAACACCAAATTCAACGGATTCTACTATGTAAACCGAGACACGACTTTTCCGATATTATCCACGTTGAGGCCGACTACTGAATGAAAGTACGAACGAGCGATATTTTAAATTTATACAAACGTGTCGTCTTATCAAACAAATGACTCCGTGAAAGAAGGTGGCACACTGGAACACCTTAGGTACACGATCGTCGTCTTACGTAGCTTACAGGACTGAAGCACGGTAGCATGATTCGTATCAATTTTCCACAAGTTGATGATGCTTCAAGACTCAACGGCGATAGACCCCCAACCACCACGCTAGTCATTGTGTTTTCATCTTATCGAGTATGGAATAGAACACTTGTTTGGTCACCCACACTTCCCGATAATGATGTAATGACATGCACGCTACTCTCCACCACTCGATGTAACGTAAACTATTGGGGCGGCTTGGAACAGCTGGACCTACATGGAATATTTCCCTAGACCAGACCGACCTGCGTGCCTTTCGTATGTTTTGTTTGGAATGCATTAGGCGGAGTTCATCTGTAGCCTCAGAGGCTGCAGCAGTGCACTGTAAATGAATGTAGCCATGGCCATCGTGTTTCAATGTCATATTAAGAACTGCCAAACTCAAAATTCCAGGAAATACCAAATCGTACAATCAAGGACATGACATGAAGCACAATTTTGCAATCATCCGGTTACGTAATAGAAAAAATTGCTTGCTTCTGATGACACTTAACCGATAAAACACGGTGCTGTTCCACGAGTCATGGCAATGAACAAACGAATCTACACGAAATAAAGCGACTCAATATTTGTTCAAGTGCATAGTTTATCATCGGCGCAGGGGATTTCTTGAAGGTTTTCGGTTATTACTTTCGATTGGCGACAACAAGGCGGACAACAATCATCCCCATACTGATGCTGATGAACGAATTTCGGAAAACTTTCAAAAGTAGGGGTTCGGTAGACATTTTACCAAAAATACTAAAGTAGATTATGCAACCTTAGTTGGTTATTGAATAAAATCTCTATTAAGGTCCAAGGAGTACTGTTCTGATTCATATTTCGGACAATTTTTAATTTTATCTTGAAATACCTATCGTTGAGGGGTGATGTAAACCGAAGGGTGATTCTAAAGAAACAAGAGTGTTTTTTAATATTAATATAATTTATGAGATTTTAGGTAAGAATGCCACTAGCCCAGAGTAGGAAATTAGAACATTTTCAATAACACACTTTTTTAACCTTACATTGGGATCTTGGAAACACTGTGTAAATCTTTCCAAATGCATTAAGAAGGTTAAAGAAATGGTGCAGGGATGCCAGAATAAGTCTTCTAACCTGTCGACACCAGAATTTAAAACAGTAAGTGGAGGAGGAGGAGGGTTGAGTTGTCAAGCTACATTTACAAAAAATGTTTTAGTTTTCGGAAATACGTTAACTTAAAAGAATAGCTTTTGAAAATATTTCGATTTTTTTAGACATCACACAGTGGGAATTTTCGAAGTAAAAATGGTTGAATTCAGCTTCCGCTGAAATAATAATCAACGATTTCATTCGGCGCAAGCCTTGGTAGCACTTTTTAAGCCAATATGGCTCCATAACTCAAAAAAAAAGATCTGAAATTGATCCTTTTTCCAAAACAAAAACACACTTCATATTTCGATTCCAGCGGCAGCAAATTGCAAACCCTTTTTCCATCATAAATCCCCATCGTTTTAAACAGCTTCACTTTACGCATACCAAACCTGCTTTCTGACGCATACCCAATAAATTGACAGCTCGGCCCTCACTAATGTACCGCCGGGGAGCTGAGATGGTGATTTCAGCCAATGTAATAATTTAAAATAGTACCAAAATTTACGGAATTTTGAATTTCGCCTCCATTTTATGCAGTTGCAACAACGGATATGCAATTGTGATGTGATGTGATGTGAATAGAACCCACCATCAGTGCAAGGATTACCTATGACTGCAGATACTTCACTGGTTGTAAAGTTCTGCCTGATGGTTTGTTGCAGCAGGGTGAATCAACTTCATTGAAGACCTTTGGAAGACAAACGACAAGATGTACGTCTATCAACACGTGAAAAGGGACTGGCAAATCCACGAACCCTTGTCCAGTCTACAAATCCATTGAAACCCTTAGGCTGCCCCCCCAAACCCAGCATATAATAATGTTTGATTAATGAAACGTATTCAAAAAAGGGATATTTAGAGAGAACAATCTTCAACTGGAACGTACTCACCAAATCAATACAGCACATTCTCGATGCTTAATTTTCTCTAGTCATTTTTACACAATTCCTCCTCCAGCGAATCCAACCACACAATAACTGTTGCAACAACGGATATGCAATTATCTCTTTACTCCTAATGAACCCAATCTACATTATTCTCATAAATAATGTTTTTGAGCTTTTTTTTTATTCTTCGTTAAAAATTAAGACATTTCAATAACTTTGAAAATAAATCAGCATTGCATACAATATCATGGAAATCAGGACATGTCCTGCTAAATTTAGGGATACAATGGTAGCTCAAAATATAATCAATAAAGTGTCCGACGTCCCTCAGGACCTGCATTACTAATATTACGCCAACTAACTCGGTTCATGGCTGCTTGTCTACAGATTCTTGAGCATCCCATACTTCTTAGATCTTGCTCCACCCTTGGTCTTACCACCTAGCTCGCCTAGTGTGGAAAGCATAACCATCAGGCGTGAACCTTTGAAATTCAATAGAGAAAGATAAAGCCTAAATGTATGCTTTCGTAGCACGAAATCAGTATGCGGATTAACAGGAAATTCCAAACTTTGCCGGAGGAATAAACTTCAAATATTAAAAGTTGACGAAAGTGATGCAACCGGAATCTGTGGAAGAGAAAGAGAAGATGAGAAGCACTCCGTTCAAGGAACTAGTCGGTGGTTTGCAGTTTGTGGCGCAGTGCACTCAGCCAGATATCAGCCATGCGGTGAGAGTCGTCAGTAGCTTCAGCCATGAACCTGGAGCAGCCCACTGAACGGCAGCCAAACGAATTCTACGGTACCTGAAAGGTACAAAGGACTACAAGCTGGTGTATCGGGCCAACTGCGAGCAGAACTTCCAAGGATACAGCGATACGGGTTGGGGGAACGACGTCGAAACTCGGCGTTCCATTACCGGCTACGTGTTCCTGCAAAGTGGAGGTGCTATTTCTTGGAGATCGCAGAGGCAGTTCACCGTGGCAGAATATATGGCACTCTCTTCTGCCACCAAGGAAGCGGCATGGCGGAGAGGATTCCTGCAAGAGCTTCACGATGTCGAAATTTCCGTTCCAATCAACTGCGATAACAAGAGCGCAATAAGTCTAAGTCTTGCGGAGAAGGATGTCGGCTACTCTTCAAGAAGCAAGCAGATAGACATAAGGCATCATTATGTACGAGATCAGTTAGATTGTAAAGCTATTACATCGAATTATGTCCCATCTAACCTTCAGGCAGCAGATATATTCACGAAAGCACTAGCGAACACAAAGCTGTTTGAAGATAGAAAAATGTTAGGAATTCAGGATTTCCCGCTGTAAGCGTTAGTTCAATAAAACTTCATTCGTTACTTGCACTCTAAATTGAGTAGACGTTTCTATCAGGGCCTCACTTCTACTCAAAAGTATGGAGAAACTTCTAAAAACTGCAGGAACTCAATGCTGCTATGTTTTTAAAAATTTCTCCATACGAGTGAGTAATAATGACTCGCTCTCTGAGTAAGATTCGCTTTCAGTGCACCCAATTCAGTTGTCATAATGCAAAGCTTATCCAAGTGCTCATATTCACTATAAAAGCTCACGCGAAGTAGTACCAGAATGAAAAAAGCTACTCTATCATAGCAACCCCATAGCAACCATCCTTCTGCAAACATTATCGATAAATCATACTCCGATAGGGTCCGATATCATTCATGGTATCGGTAATAAAAATTAGGAAAATAATATTTAGTGCAATATTTCCAGTATTCAAAACGAAACTCAACATGACAGAAGGCGTGAGAAAAGAGATCGATTTCATTTCCGACATCAACGATCGGTACGCACTGATGGAGTATGAACTAGATGAAAAACTGAAGTTGCTGTGAGTACAAAGTACATACCTACCATCGCTTTGGAATTTCAAACCGGCTTCGATTATAGAACCCATAACGAACAAAATCTGCTCAACTCCGAGGCTAAGGAAGCTAATAAAATTCGGGAAAAGATACGACCGAGCCTATCGCTGGAGTCAGCCAGGCAACGTAACTTCGAGCTTCTCAAATCTCTGGAGGTATCCAAAGCACGCCTGCGATCCCGAGCCACATTCAGTCCTCTGGAAACAATCCTTCAGAAAGCCATAGGAAATTATTTGAAGGAAACCTCTCTGGTACCCTGCACCACCAGAAAAGCGTACGGCCCAACCTACGTGTAGCTTTGGTTTTGTGAATTATCAGTTAATTAAAAAAGATCCATTTTGCCAGAAAATATACCGAATCATATATTTTACATGCTCTGCCATAGTACAGTACAAAAAATTATATCACACCTTGTCATTTGTTTCTAAGGTTTAACCACGTTGAAAGATGTTTATTGCTCATCACCGCATTTAAAATTGGAATAGTCTACGCTTGCTTATAAATAATTCATTTGCTAAGTTATCAAGGAAATTCTTTGAATAGTTTGTACCTTTTCCGGGTAAACCCGATCAACGGAGCAGCACCGTGTACAACAAATATCTATCCTATTTTGGTTTATTATTTTATGTGGTGCACAATTTACACTAATCTCTATCCAGTAAGAAATCCGTCACTTGTTGAGATATTCGTTCCGGGTTCACCAAATGGATGTGGTGTGTCCCGGCAATTTCATGGTATATTACATTACGAGAAGACTTTTTCATAGCATCTATCACACTGGGGTAGTACTCGGCGTTGTCAAAGTGCATCCCCGGAACGGCCCTTATGTTGAGCACCTTACATTTGATCTTCTCAGCGTGGGCAATAACTTGTGGTAGCGAAAGCATCCCCATCAGAGACACCTTCAGTCGCAAATCTCTGGCAAAATAGAATCCTTCCTTGTTGAAACGTCCCGCGGCTGGAGCCATTCCCCGTCGCATGAGCACCTCCACTGATTGCAGATCCACTGAACCATCGTACGCCGCTAGCACCACGTCGATCGCATCATCGTACCCGTAGCAAGGTGTTTTCGATTCCGGAAGCGATTCGTAGCGCAGGAACCTATCAATACTGTCACCCAGATTGGCCGCCTGCTTGTGGTGGTCTCGTGCCGGTGGCCCGGCAATGTCAATACTGATAAATCCTTCGACCTCGTCGGGAAATGCCGCTGCATACATAAAACTCAACGCACCGCCCAGCGAATGCCCCAGTAGGGTGACCTTGTCCCAGCCAAAGTATTTCACGATCCGTCGGATCAGCGCGATTCCGTCCCAAAAGATGTAGTAGTGCATTCCCTTGGGATAGTGAGCAGATTTACCGTGACCGGGAAGATCGATTGCCAGGATGGGAATTTCGTCCGGCAGCAGTGGGCAGAGACGGTCGAACGTTCCGGCGTTGTCCTGCCAGCCGTGTAGGGCTAGAACCGGTTGCTTTAGACGCGAGCCCCACCATTTACCTGTAAAGTTGAAGATATGGTATAGAAAGTTTTAGCATACATGGTGGAAGCTTCCAAAATCCTCACGAAAATACCGTTTTAAAGTTTTATCTATGACAGCTACGCGTGAGAGTCATTATAAATTGTTTTCAGCTGATTCATGATTGTGGACCCACAAGGGTGTACGTACGAGGAGAGTTTAAGAGAGACCACCAGAAATTGAAATGTTTAAACTCGGCAAATAAGGTGGCGGATGTAGTTAAATCAAAGCAGTATCAGCTGACAACTACTTCCGTTACATCCTACACACTCAGAATGGATCGTCGTGTCCGGTATTTTTTTTTTACCGAAATCTCAACAACTTAAGACCTTCATTTGAAAGCCTATTTTGCTCAAACATAGTGTAAAAACACGTTCCTAGTTAATTTTTTATTTTATAACAGTAGCGTAACAACAATTTATTTAATGAAAATGGAAGGTTAACTATCCATTCCATCACAAACTATCAAGAACTCAACTAGCTACAAAAACACGTCTATAGATAGTGATAATCCATACCTGGCAACTACTTTAAAAGTCAACCCACCACATCACCTTATTCACGCGCCACTGTTTAAGTATGGTAGCACTCCATAAACTAAACAATTACGACACAGGCGATTATGGCGATCGCAAAAACGCGTAATCTTATTTCTTGTATACACTGCTTAGCTACTACCTATATGAATAAATAAAGCCACCTTTAACGTATACCAGTTATCACGCTAACACACCATATTGAATTCAATTTCTGCAGTGTTTATGTATCATGATGTCGTCGATTATCAACATCCTCAAACCGGCAAGCACGTGCTCAGAGGACGCTCAAACCACAACCCAACCCAATACCATGAACCCTTCAGTCGATCACTTTGTGCCAATTCATTCCTATAGTATAACAAGCCGCTGATAACGACGATAAGCGACTATGACAACAAAACGACGCTCAGCCAAAATTCATAAAAAAAAGGCATTACTCACCAGCTACGATGCCCCATGGCATTGAAATTTCGATTTCTTCCGTGGATCTCTGTAATGCTCCATTTGATGCTAAAAGAAAAAAAAACGAAAAAGAATGCATTTAGCTTGCAATCAATACCATGTACGAGTGGATGCGTTTTCACATACTAACACACACCTGCCATCGTCGCGGAACTGAAACCATTGATCGCTTGTGCTGATGCAGCTGATGTGGATGTTTGTTCGCTACTCATTTCGTCCCCTGGAATCGATATCACGATTCGTTGCCCCGAAATATACTCCGTCGAAAAGGAATTCTCAAAAATGCTAGGTACTTCAAGCAATTACGCAATTCGGGTTGCAAATTTGCATATAAATTGGTCACCGAAATTGACCTTTCAAAATAGGGACTCCAATCACTGGTGACGTGAAGCGTTTAGACCGTGTATGACTTAAGTTGATATCCTTGAAAGGTTTCAATACGCACGACGATTAGCAGCCCGGAACATTCATATTGCCAAAAAGCATAACACTCTTGCGACTTTAAAAATGATTCCAAAATCCAATATGATGGTTGCAGGCTGCACCAAATAACAACCGCACACGAAATACGTCCACTACAACCGCGACTCGACCAACGAATGACAGCTCTCAAAACAAGCAAGAGAAAGACGAGAGGCGACGGAGGCAACCAGACAGCTAGGGTAAATGCACCTGTACACTGGTCGAGACACCTAGAAATACTCAGAGGGAGAGATAGGCGGAGAAAACAAAATACAATTCGGCCAGAGTGGCCAGATTATTTTTTTCATTATCGGTAGCTTCTCAAAACTTTTATCGGTAGTTATCGGTAGGTTGACTTAAGAACGCTTTCCCGATACTTGAAACTCTTATGAGCGGGGGGGATGACTCTGTGCTCCAGAACAATACACTGTCCTTCAGATCTTCTGCTTTAAACGTGTCGAAATCAATTTTCTAAAAATCTGTGATTCTCGGTAGGAAAAGTGAAAAATCGGTAGTTTTGATCCTTTCGTCTGTGAATCGGTAGGCATCCCAAAAATCGGTAGGTCTGGCCACCCTGAATTCGGCAGCAGGGATTTGTTCCTACGTACGATAAACGTCAGCAATCTCTATTAAGTTCTGCAGCGTGACGTCACAAATGAACTCAGTGTTAATAGGCTGAACCTTTTTGACAGTTCAGTGGTACTGTTTACAAGCACTTAGTCGTTTTTTCGAAAAAATATATTTTAAAATTTCCGAATTTTAACTTGAAAATTGTCGAGGAACAGCGCGGTGAAAGGATGTTGCTCGTGGACAATGCAGAAATGCTGTTTACATCTCACTGCAGTCTGAAAAATTATCGAGAAAATCCACCCAAGAAAAAATCGGCTAAGTCCACGTAAACAGTACCACTAAACTGTCATCAGATTGAGGTTAACCCAGGGTTACATTAGAATCAAACATCATCACGATGTAATTTGTTGCACGCATAAAACATCAGAATACATCCAATGATAACAGAACCTAACGTTACATTAGAATCAAACTTTATCACGATGTAATTTGTTGCACGCATAAAACATCAGAATACATCCAATGACAACAGAACCTAACGTTACATTAGAATCAAACATCATCACGATGTAATTTGTTGCACGCATAAAACATCAGAATACATCCAATGACAACAGAACCAAACGTTACATTAGAATCAAAGTTCATCACGATGTAAATTGTTGTCCCTCGGTCTCTCGCCGCATGCAAAGTTTGTTTTGTCCTGAGTCAGCACTACACGGCGAATGAGAACGACCCAAATTTGAGGTTAGTTCACTCATAAATCGCAAAAAGAGCAGGAACTCAGTTTTGAATTAATTTCCCTCATGTTCCGAATATGAGAAAAGCAAAGATTGGATTCTCTGGATTCTCGTAAATTTTCCTTATTTTAGGGCAGATTTTTGAGGTTTTCCACAGGAAAACATGCGGCAAATTTACTCATCCTGCACTTTTTTCGATATTGAGTACACTCAAATATGCGTGATCTCATTGGCCGTGTACAGTTTTTTTTTTCGCAGTATGGGAAAAGTTTGATTTGTTTACGAATTAGCCCGGGAAAGTGCCAATAATGTGTCCGTCGCAAGTTTTGGTGCATTGCAATGTTTTTCTGGTAAGTAAATGTGAATTTATTAATTTAATGTAATGTAATTATTTTTTTTTTTAGGAAAGTGTACCGGTACCAGTCCCAGCCGAATCCCGGTAGGGAATCCGAAGCTGGATCCCGGGCGGGGAGTTTGCAGCCAGATCTCTTTGCAGGTTAGTCAGTGTATTTTTTTACTAAAAGCTACAAGCCCGATGACGGGTTCCGTAAACGGAGCCCGATGGGGATTCCGTAGACGGATCCCGATGGGGAAACCGAATACGGATCCCGATGGGGAAACCGAATACGGATCCCGATGGGAAAACCGAATACGGATCCCGATGGGGATTCCGTAGACGGATCCCGACGGGGAAACCGAATACGGATCCCGATGGGGAAACCGAATACGGATCCCGATGGGAAAACCGAATACGGGTCCCAATGGGGAAACCGAATACGGATCCCGATGGGGAAACCGAATACGGATCCCGATGGGGATTCCGTAGACGGATCCCGACGGGGAAACCGAATATGGATCCCGATGGGGAAACCGAATACGGATCCCGATGGGAAAACCGAATACGGGTCCCAATGGGGAAACCGAATACGGATCCCGATGGGGAAACCGAATACGGATCCCGATGGGAAAACCGAATACGGATCCCAATGGGAAAACCGAATACGGATCCCGATGGGGATTCCGTAGACGGATCCCGACGGGGAAACCGAATACGGATCCCGATGGGGAAACCGAATACGGATCCCGATGGGAAAACCGAATACGGATCCCAATGGGAAAACCAAATACGGGTCCCAATGGGAAAACCGAATACGGATCCCGATGGGGATTCCGTAGACGGATCCCGACGGGGAAACCGAATACGGATCCCGATGGGGAAACCGAATACGGATCCCGATGGGGATTCCGTAGACGGATCCCGACGGGGAAACCGAATACGGATCCCGATGGGGAAACCGAATACGGATCCCGATGGGGATTCCGTAGACGGATCCCGACGGGGAAACCGAATACGGATCCCGATGGGGAAACCGAATACGGATCCCGATGGGAAAACCGAATACGGGTCCCAATGGGGAAACCGAATACGGATCCCGATGGGAAAACCGAATACGGGTCCCAATGGGGAAACCGAATACGGATCTCGATGGGGATTCCGTAGACGGATCCCGACGGGGAAACCGAATATGGATCCCGATGGGGAAACCGAATACGGATCCCGATGGGAAAACCGAATACGGATCCCAATGGGAAAACCAAATACGGGTCCCAATGGGGAAACCGAATACGGATCCCGATGGGGATTCCGTAGACGGATCCCGACGGGGAAACCGAATACGGATCCCGATGGGGAAACCGAATACGGATCCCGATGGGGATTCCGTAGACGGATCCCGACGGGGAAACCGAATACGGATCCCGATGGGGAAACCAAATACGAATCCCGATGGGAAAACCGAATACGGGTCCCAATGGGGAAACCGAATACGGATCCCGATGGGGATTCCGTAGACAGATCCCGATGGGGAAACCGAATACGGATCCCGATGGGGATTCCGTAGACAGATCCCGATGGGGAAACCGAATACGGATCCCGATGGGAAAACCGAATACGGATCCCGATGGGAAAACCGAATACGGATCCCGATGGGGAAACCGAATACGGATCCCGATGGGAAAACCGAACACGGGTCCCAATGGGGAAACCGAATACGGATCCCGATGGGGATTCCGTAGACGGATCCCGACGGGGAAACCGAATACGGATCCCGATGGGGAAACCCAATACGGGTCCCGATGGGGAAACCGAATACGGGTCCCAATGGGGAAACCGAATACGGATCCCGATGGGGATTCCGTAAACGGATCCCGACGGGGAAACCGAATACGGATCCCGATGGGGATTCCGTAGACGGATCCCGACGGGGAAACCGAATACGGATCCCGATGGGGAAACCAAATACGAATCCCGATGGGAAAACCGAATACGGGTCCCAATGGGGAAACCGAATACGGATCCCGATGGGGATTCCGTAGACAGATCCCGATGGGGAAACCGAATACGGATCCCGATGGGATAACCGAATACGGGTCCCAATGGGGAAACCGAATACGGATCCCGATGGGGAAACCGAATACGGATCCCGATGGGAAAACCGAATACGGATCCCGATGGGGATTCCGTAGACGGATCCCGACGGGGAAACCGAATATGGATCCCGATGGGGAAACCGAATACGGATCCCGATGGGAAAACCGAATACGGATCCCAATGGGAAAACCAAATACGGGTCCCAATGGGAAAACCGAATACGGATCCCGATGGGGATTCCGTAGACGGATCCCGACGGGGAAACCGAATACGGATCCCGATGGGGAAACCGAATACGGATCCCGATGGGGATTCCGTAGACGGATCCCGACGGGGAAACCGAATACGGATCCCGATGGGGAAACCGAATACGGATCCCGATGGGGATTCCGTAGACGGATCCCGACGGGGAAACCGAATACGGATCCCGATGGGGAAACCGAATACGGATCCCGATGGGAAAACCGAATACGGGTCCCAATGGGGAAACCGAATACGGATCCCGATGGGGAAACCGAATACGGATCCCGATGGGAAAACCGAATACGGGTCCCAATGGGGAAACCGAATACGGATCCCGATGGGGATTCCGTAGACGGATCCCGACGGGGAAACCGAATATGGATCCCGATGGGGAAACCGAATACGGATCCCGATGGGAAAACCGAATACGGATCCCAATGGGAAAACCAAATACGGGTCCCAATGGGGAAACCGAATACGGATCCCGATGGGGATTCCGTAGACGGATCCCGACGGGGAAACCGAATACGGATCCCAATGGGGAAACCGAATACGGATCCCGATGGGGATTCCGTAGACGGATCCCGACGGGGAAACCGAATACGGATCCCGATGGGGAAACCAAATACGAATCCCGATGGGAAAACCGAATACGGGTCCCAATGGGGAAACCGAATACGGATCCCGATGGGGATTCCGTAGACAGATCCCGATGGGGAAACCGAATACGGATCCCGATGGGGATTCCGTAGACAGATCCCGATGGGGAAACCGAATACGGATCCCGATGGGAAAACCGAATACGGATCCCGATGGGAAAACCGAATACGGATCCCGATGGGGAAACCGAATACGGATCCCGATGGGAAAACCGAACACGGGTCCCAATGGGGAAACCGAATACGGATCCCGATGGGGATTCCGTAGACGGATCCCGACGGGGAAACCGAATACGGATCCCGATGGGGAAACCGAATACGGGTCCCAATGGGGAAACCGAATACGGATCCCGATGGGGATTCCGTAGACGGATCCCGACGGGGAAACCGAATACGGATCCCGATGGGGAAACCGAATACGGATCCCGATGGGGATTCCGTAGACGGATCCCGATGGGGAAACCGAA